TTTCCCTGATTTATTCCCAGAATACTTTATTACAACTAAAGTTTCAAGTGGGTGGTACCTTGGTGGAGTATGTTAGCTTGTGACATGCAGGAGGTCAAACTGGACAATCTACCACATTTACTTAAATCCAAAACAATCCCCCCCGCCCCCGAATGCAACATGAGAAAAAATGGCCCCTCATCTTGGAGTCAAGTACAAGTTGGGGATGGGGCAGGGGGGCAGGCTGTTGCTGCAGCTCTGACACTGGTCCCAACTCGGACTCAGGGTAGAAGTCAGAGCCACAGCCACTTATCCCCCATGCGCTGTTCCTCACCGGCTCTACTCTTCTCCTACCTCTGCTGTCTGCCCTCTCCCCTCACCTCTCACCCTCTGTTCCACCTCTAGCTCCAACTCCAGCTCTGACCATAGCCTGCTCTGGCTTGGGACACAGAGAACATGTTGCCTTTGTAGCCCCCATACAGCAGCAGGTTATATATATGGCATTGTAACCATGCAATAGTGATTGTAGTCCCTGCTCCAGGGGTAGGGGTGGAGCTGCTGCTACCATAACTGTTGCTGCATGGTTTAACTACAGCTAGAACTATCATGTGCTCTGTGCCCCAGGCTGTAAGGGAGTCTCAGTCCAAGCTGAGAAAAAGGTAAGAGGCAGTGGAAGTGATGAGAAAGGGGCAGATGGCATGGAGGAAGGCAGCAGGGAGGCAGGCAGCAGGAGGGGGAGGCACCACGGGAGGCAGGTGGAAGAAGGACAAGTGGTTGGGAAGCACACATGCTAGGGGGTTGTGCAGGTACCATGGATGGGGCAGGCGTCAGGGGGAACAGGCAGAGGGGCAGGCAGGAGGGGAGGCAAGTGGTGGCGGGGGAGAGGGGACAGATCCCAGGGGGTGGAGGACAAATTTATACATTTTCTACATCTAGAATCTAATTATTGGGGCATCATCTTAAATTAAAAGTCATCTTGGATTTGTGTATATATAGTAATTGTCCCTTGTGTTCTTAAGCTTTATGGTGTATATAAGAGAATCATATCCAATTATTTACCAAGAGATGCTGAAATTCCTGCAAGGCATATTTTTTTTCCTAAATGGAAATGTTATCTCAAAGGAATATCAGCATAACTCACAGACAGCAAATTAATCTAAATCACTCCAACCAACTGTATTATGGGGCTTTTCTTAATTTTAATTATTTCTGTCCAACAGTTTAGGAGACTAGTCTATTATTCATGATTCAATACATGTTTCACTTAAATTCTGCCTCTGTTACATTCATCTAAGTTAGGCCTAAGTCCACATATGTCAAGGATTCTGAATTTATAACAAAGCTGCTGATAGCAGAATCTGTCCTATGTTGACTAACTTTTATTTTGAAAATAGTGAATCGTATTTAGTACCTTCCAGAAATTTGCAAAACCTCAGTTAATAAAGATCTGCCAACAGCTGTATGTAACTACTGAGAACTCTGGTCAGTTTTGGCATAATGTCTTCCTGTAGAATATATGCACCACATCTTGTAATTCAGGCCTATGCGTCTTTATTTTTTATCCATTATTAGCGTAGAGTAACAGTTCTGTTCATACCCACTCTCTCACAATTATTACTACTGTATATCTATCTCCTTATACAATGTTGTGCCTAGAAGACAAACAGGTGCATTTAGTATATTAAAAATATAATATCGGGTCTTTCTAGAGTTGAACTAGTGTAGCAGGAAATGCATTTCCAAATATTAAACCTGCTGATTTAATTTTTAATTTTTCTCGTTTGCTTTCAGTTTTTCAGGTAAACAAGTTTTTACATGTGAAAAGGCTTGCAGAAAATAAAAGTGTCCTTAATACTTGTGCTAATACTATTAAGAGAATACTCACCCTTAAAAATCTTCTCTGACCACTTTGAAATGCACTTATTACTGTCACAATAATGTAGCTTAATTAAACACTTATGAGTGCTTTGGATAATTTTCAAATATAAAAGGCTCCCAATATATAAAATTTGGGTCATGTAATGAGCAAACAGAAACAAACAACATGGCTCAGGATACAAGCATTGTACCTTATCAACTGTTCCAGTAACTCATTTCAGCAGTTCTGTCATTTCATCCCTCAAAAACTAGCTTGCACATACACATTCACAGTTCATAAGAACAGAGCAGTACATTATTAAGCCATCTCCCCATTTCAGGTGTATAATTATATTAGAACTAATTTTTGAAAGACACTTTTCCTTTACCAAACATGTAATTAGCATGTCCCATAGAAGAGCAAAGGGAATGAAGAAAGCCTACTTATTTTTATAAATAAGCCATGTGTGGCTGGATAAAGTTAAGAGAATTCAATGTCACATGATTCACTTTTTCTCTTAAAATTACACAGAGGCATAAGGACTATGAAAAAAGGAAAAAATATATTTTTATTCAAAACAGCTCTAGCATCAAAGTGTTCAATGACTTCATAACAAAATACTGCATTGCATGGATACAATGTCTGGTCCTACTTGCAAAGTAAGGATTGTATAAATTGTTGTAATGAGCACACTATATTACCCCTTAGGTTTTCAAGTTGTTTCTGACCAAATAGTGGCATCTTTAATGGGCCAGTGCTTATGTTACTGTATGAAAGAATAGTGGTTCCTGAATGAAGTGAGTTACTTGTCAAAATGTCTTTCTGTAATTTAGGGAAACCATCAATATTAGACAATGTTTAGATTTTGTTCTTTCCATTTGTTACCATCTGAATCTTTCTTTGTTACAATACCATCTCAATAGAAAAACCTTGACCATTATATATCTCATCTATATCCCATCACATGAATATCAAAATAACCTATGTTCTGAAACTAAGAGTTAAAATACTTCCTCTTCTTGTTCTCCATACATATCTGCCAGTATAAATATACTTTATAATTTTACAAATTACAGTATTTGTATTAAAGCTTTCAGTCTGCAAATCGTTACGATTTAACATGGCAAAACAGTTGTGTTTTGGTTCTATCCTTAAATCCTTTTTGGGGGTAATGAAAACCAGCCAAAATAAGTGACTGAAAATAATACAAACAACACATTTATTTAGAAAAATAAACTGAAAATGCTGTTTGTCTGTTACATTTCTTCATGAAGCATAGATAAATGGCTATAAAAACTTTTATGTCAAATACATATTACAAATGACCTTTTTTCTTTCATAGTAATTGGGAGGATCCTGTCAACATTCAACAGGAACATTTGGGGTATATAGTTCAATAGGTTCAATTTCTTGGCTGTTACTATGATATAAAATGAATTTCATAAAAAAATATTAGATCCCTTTTTTAAATCCACTTGATCATGTTGATGCTTTTCTCATATATATTTTTTAAACTTAAGAAAGGACCACATTCCTTTTGGGAATGATCCTCACTGCAAAGAGAGAGCAATTGTTTTCTTCAGTTTTTAACTTTTTAATTCCTTTTGGAGCCCCTGCAACACGTAGCTTGTTGTGGTCAAAAATCTCATGGGGCCATCTGTGCAAATGATGGCGCACATCATTACCCTGAATGGAAGTGACAGTGCAAATACGAGAAGTGCATTGAGATGCAATCTGTAACAACTGAACTGTTTCTTCAGATTTGGGCAGAGGACTGGAGACAATATCCTTCTAAGCATTTAGCATCACTGGCGCTCTGTTCTTCTATGGCTTTGAATATGTACATGGGATGATCGAGGTCTTCTTTCCCCATAAAAACCAACATTCCTATATTGTAGTAAATGCATTGCTTTGCCTGCAATCACTTAAGTGCTTTATGTTTCCTTTTGGCTACATATTGAAATATTTTTTGGATGCTGGCTAGACCCCATGATCCATTTTCTGGTTGTTATTCTAATTCTTCAGTATTGAGCTTCTCAATTGTCAGGCTTGGAGACAGCTGTTCCCAAAATGGGGCATGGTATTTTAGGCCTTTTGACTTTTCATTCTGACTGAACTGGAATTTAAGGCTGTGGCTTTTGTCAGGGCTCAGCTCATAGCTGTCAGATCTGAGGCAGAAGATTCGATTTGGATTATACCAGTGGTTAGTTGTGCTCTGACTCCAAGGGCTTCCATGCTCCAAGAAGGGTCAGGTTCCTGGTTACTTTCAGATCTGGCCTGCAAGAAGTCACAATGATGAATCTGACATGAGACAAATTAACTAATGTGCCTTCAAATGTAGATATTCAATCTAGCCTGAAGGAGCTGTCAAAGGAGAAAAAGAAAAGAAGAACCAGGTTATAATAAGGTAACTTTAGACAAGCAAAACTAACAGGAAAACAAGAAACAATCATCATAGGATCATATCATAGAAAATTAGGGTTGGAAAGGACCTCAGGAGGTCATCTAGTCCAGTGTTTCCCAAACTTTTCCATCCCAAGGCACACTTAAAATAATAAAAATTTTCTGCGGCACACCAGTTAAGGCACTCCCCATCCTCATACGTACTGTAGCTCATTGCCATGGCAAAATTCCGTGGCACACCTGTTCATTTCTGACGGCACACTTTTGTGCGGTGGCACAGTGGTTGGGAAACACTGATCTAATCCAGCCCCCTACTCAAAGCAGGACCACCCCCAAGTAGACCTTTCAAGCCAAATCTTAATCCAGTTGGGCCTCAAAAACCTCCAAGGATGGAGATTCCACCACCTCTCTGGGTAACTCCAATAGTTTACTACCCTCCCAGTGAGCAAGTTTTTCCTAATATCTAACCTACACTTTCCTTGCTGCAACTTGAGACCACTGCTCCTTGTTGTCATCTACCACCAAGAAGAACAGTCTAGTTCCATCCTCTGTGTAACCCCCTTCAGGTAGTTAAAGGCTGCTATGAAATCCCCCCTCACTCTTCTTTTCTGCAGACTAAATGAACCCAGTTCCTTCAGCCTCTCCTCAGAAGTCATGTGCCTCCCAGCCCCCTAACCATTTTCACTGCCATCAGCTGGACTCTCTCCAATTTGTCCACATCCTTTCTATGGTGGGGGGGGGGGAGGGGGGAGTACTTCTGGACACAGTACTCCAGATGTGACAATCACATTTCCATGGAAGCAAAGAGTTTGATTAAGTCCAAAATCTTAAGTTTCACTAACATTTGATGATTGAATATCTTTACTAATACAGGATCAGATGCTTAGCTGGTATAAATAGGCATAGGCCCCTGGAGATCAGTGGAACCACATGAGGTTGCACCAGCTGAGGTTCTGATAAATACTATTTTGGGTGCTAGAACATATTTTAGGGGACTGTAAAGAGATGATGCTAGAATAGTTTACAAATGTAAAAGAATATCCTCGGGAGTTTGCATCCATTAAAAGTGTATATGAAAGTATTTCCCTTAGTACTGAAAATTAATCAGGTGTTCCTAGGATCCTTCTTGGGAAAAATAAAATAAATATAAAATTTAAAAATTAGTAAATATTTGAAAATTCTTCCAAGAAGTCAAACTTAATTTAGACAGGAGTCTTCCATTCAAATCCCTGTTCCAAATAAGGCAGAGAGTAGATGTCAAACAGTTTTCTAATCAATAGACTACACAGTATTCTGAGATGAGTCTTCCACAAACACTCTGTTGTTGTTCATCATATGCAAAATGCTTAGCCACCAAGACATGGGGGGGGGAGAGACATGGAGACAGAGAGAGAGAGAATGATTTTCTCAGTTAGTGATTAGGGCACTCACTCAGGAAATGGAACATCTTGATTTTGCAGTGATGTTTAATTATGTATACAAAGTGGAAGAGTCAATGGGAGAGACTGCAAGAACCTCAGAATACCAGACTGCATAGGGATTAGGGAAATCTCCTGGGAGAGGAGAAATGTGAACTCAGATTCCCTTAGTCAAAGGAGGGAATTCACCTTGAAGGCTTATCTTCATCCAGCCAGTGATCTAAACTCAGCCATCGAGAAAAAAAGAGGAAAAATAATGATTCTCCTTATAATATTTTTTTTATTGTTCATTTTTTACTTTTTTTAAAGTAAAATGTTTTGTGGTGAAATGAAATTTTGAGGGAGATTTTAGTCTGAGACAACAGCAACAAAAAAGATTTTTTTTTAATGATTTTATCTGAACATGGTGGGGGGGTTGTTTTGGGGGTTCTTTCAATATTTTGTTTTAGTTACTGCACCAGAAAATCAATTTTTTGCAGAGCCCTTTTTTACCAGAATGTAACACTGACCTGTATAGTCCAGTATCCAAACTCTGACAGAAATATTATATTGAACAATTTTACCAGAGCTTCATTCTGGAGGAAATTTCTTCATAATTTCAGCTATTCAGGGTATGATTTATATCCTGAATAATAAAAAAAAAATAACTATCCCCATACAATCCATCCGAATTATATTCCATAACTGTTCATATATCCCTGGAAACATGCAGTTCATTCATCCCTTTAACTTTTGTGCTCAGATATGCAATGTCTAATAAATTATACAAGTTGAAAATACCTTTTGGGAAAAAAGTAGTGGGGGAGGGGAGGGAGAGAGAAATCAAAATGGTGGCAATGCATCTGATTTATGCTCCATTCAGGTATAGTAAGGGTTTAACTAGTTAAATAGAAAAATGAATAACACTATCACTACTGTTTGCCAGAATGAAGTTCCTCCTAAGAATTTATTCTCAGCAACCATTAGAAGTGAAATCAAAACCATGGGGGGGTTTTTGGTGGTGAAGTTAATATATATCCAAATTTGTATCAATATGAAACATAAAAATAAAAGCCCAAAAGTATTTTCTCAGTATTATTTCAAATAACACACTTTTTATTGACTGTACAGCTGAGTATCTCTTTATCCACCCATCCACACTTATAGAAGGGACCAATATCTGTACAATTTTAACTGATATTCTCCATACAGCACAAAAAGTATCATTTGCATAATAATGTCATATAATATATTGTCAATTATATATCTCATAGAAAACACAGTATGCAGTGTTTAGACACATCCACAGGACAATCTTAATAAAATTATTGATATGCATCAAAAAATAGTAGGGATGTCAATTAATTGTCGCTAACATGCACAATTACTGCATTAATTGGTTCTGGCATTAATTTTTTTAATGCATTAATTGTGCATGTGGTTTTGAAGCCCACACCTGGGCTTCACTCTGCACCATCACTGCTGTCTATGGGCTACCCAACAGGGCAGTGGTGGAAATGTAGAGGACCACAGGGCAGCCCAGGCAGGGGCTCCAGGCTGCTGCAGCAGAAAGGCTGGGGAGTGGGGAGGATGTGCACAGACAGACAAACAGCCACAGCATGCATGCAGACAGGAATGCAGCCCGACTGTGTGTAGAGCAGCGCCCGGCAGGTAAGTCTACGTAGGAGGGGGGGGTAGATCAGGGCCCCCTCTATGAGGAAAGGAGTGGGGCAAGGGCTGGAGTAAATGGGGCCCTGGGGCCAGGACAGGTCATGGAGTTGTGGGTGGCTTGTCCAGTGGGGTGGAGGAGAAGGGGCACAGCTCACCGCCACTGTGCACAGCCCCAGGGGAGGCATGTGCCCCCCAGATTTGTGCATGGGGCAGAGGCAGGCTGCACACTTTGGGCTAGGGCTCTGCACCCTGCTGCCCTTGCCCTACAAGCCACATGATGCCATGTTGTGCCTACTACCACCAGGCAGGCAGGGGTACACATGGCTAGTGTGAGGCTCCTGAGGAAAAAGGCAGCAGAGCACACAGCCCCAGCCCACAGAGGTCAGCCTACCTCCAGCCCAGCTCCTACCTCTACCTCCAGCCCAGCTTCTACCTCTAGCTCCAGATGGAGGCTGGCATACCTCCAGCCCATACACAAATCTGGGGGGGGGGGGAACATGCCCCCCATGCCTTCTCCCACCCCTTCCCCTGCACAGACTTACTGGTCGGGCACTGCTGTATATACACCTGGGCTACATTCCTGTAGGGTTACCGTATTTCCAATTTCAAGGAAGAGGACACCTGTTGAGGGGGGTAATACGATTGTGGGGGGGGCAGTGATGTGCCCCTGTCCCCCACTCCCAAGCCACAGCCCCCCAGCCCTGCTACTGCCCCTCACTCCTGACCCACCCCACCCCACCCCACATCCTGCCAGGGTGTGCGGGTTTCTCCCTGCTCCCCGAGCTCCAGACACCCC